TTAGTTTTGTTAGCAATTACCCCCTATTTTAAGCTTATTAGCATTATAGTCGTTCCTGTTACCCTAAGACCTGCCCTACTACCTATTACCGCACTTCTCGATATAAACTATAGCTTCTCGCGGAGCGATCTATACCCTCGCTTAGGTCCTTCATTCTATACGCTATTAGGGGTGTTCCGCGACTATTATAGTTAACCTGCGCTATATAGTCCAACTGTATTACTTAATAGTCTAATAGCCTATCGTTTAGTAGCTAATTAGGTTTATAGAGTGAATATAACGGCCGTTTCTACGCTAGTCGAAGAGCCTGTCTAGCTAGTCGAAGAGCCTATCTAGTAGCCTATTTCTATACTAGTATAGCTAGTCGAAGAGCCTATCTAGTAGCCTGTTTCTACACTAGTATCTACACCGATTAGGGAGCCTGTTTCGACGCTAAATAGCACTCAAATTAACGGCTAGACTAATAGTTAAACTTTAGTTAATACTAGACCTTCTTAGGACGAGATTATTGCCGCTACTATTGCTAAGGAATACGGTACAACTCGACTAAATAGCAATAGTTATGTCTCGGCTGCTGCTAAGCTTACTCTTACTAAGGTTGGCGCTTATATAGCCTATAAGCGAGTAACTAGCAAAGTGCGTAACTAGAATGCTAGCTTTAAGTCTATTATTACTGCTACTTAGCCAACTAATAAGCCTCTTATTAGCGATCTAGTAAGAGCTTATCGTGCAATAATTAAGCGCCGAGTGGTTGCGAGAAGGCCTCTTAACGGAGCTTCTAGAGTTGTCGTTATAGAGACTCTTTAAGACTAGCTTCTCGATAAGGCTACGGAGACACTGTTTCGACTAGATAAGGTATAGCGCGAGAAGGTATTAAATGCGAAGGAGTTAAAGGCATTTAACAGTCCTACCGAGAATATACGTAACACTATACTATCGACACTCTCTTAGCGTAGCAATAGCAGTCCGGCTCTAGTCGCGCTAACTCTAGCTCTAGCTATTCTAATAACGCCGGTTCTACGAGCGGAAGTTATCGACTTAACGACACTATCTACGGTCGATAGCAACACTGCTTAGCTTACGAAGCGTCGCCGTTTAGACTTCGAGTCTAAACGGCTCTAGCGTAGATTATAGGCATAAGGAGCTATACTAAAAGAAGTATTGTCGCCTATGTTTAATACTCTAAGAACACTCGCTAAGGGCCGCAGCTTGAGACGCAGAATTAGCTCGCTATTAGAGTCTTTAAGTGTCTCTATTATTAGCGCCGCTAGCGGGGCTCCGAATATACTAAGTCCTGCTAGATATATAAGCGCCGGAAGCGACTTAAGCGCCGTAATAAGTGCCGCGGTAAAGGATGTTAAGCTAAAGATAGTACGTTAAATAGATGCTGTCTAGTCTAGTATCTAGGCCCTTTAGGCAACGATAACTGCTTTATTGCCGTTACGGCCGTTACCGTTGTCTTAAATAGAGCTTCCTTCTTATTCTAATATTGTTATAGACAGTTAAACGGACTCGCTAGACTACGACAACGACAGCGACGGCTTCGTAGACCTTAATACTATCGATAAGGACGTATTCTCGTAGATAACTTAAAGGGTTAGAATTAGGGTTAGAGTTAGGGTTAGGGTTAGGGTTAGGTAAAGCAATCGTAGTGTTCTTATTATCGAGAATGTTATAATTACTTAGTCGATATCTTCTTTTACGAGTACCTATTCGAAATCGTAGCTTCGTTCGGTACGAGAGCGCTAAGACCCTCTATACCTAATAAAACCGTAGAGTAGGAGCTCGAACGGCGAACCTTATATCGACCGCTATAAGCGACTCGTAAAACGGGATAGGTATTAAAGTATATAGCTCGAAGTAATGCGGAAAGCCGAGGTTTCGTCGCTTAGTAAGCGGGCTTCGACCTTTATCGACTCGCTACGTAATAACGTATTGCTCGTTTTCGCTCGTTTTTAGACGATACGACGCGTCGTATACCGAAGGATATAGCGCGCGTAAGGATATATAAAAACGGTAATATTATTATTATAATTAAAGTCGCAAAGCATCTCGTACTATATACTATACGCTAGTGCGGGTATACCCGTACCTATTACTTTCCTATATCTTCTACCTAATTCAATCTTCTTCCGTTATATTAATAACCTTAATCTCGTCTGTCTTATAGTCCGGTATAACCGTCCGCCTATATCTAAACGAAGCGCTACTATCGAATACCTCGTCGCCTACTTATAAGCCCGCTCCGAAGTGCCTACTATAGCGTAGAAGGTCGCCGTTAACTAGTTAAGCTAAAGGGGGCATAGGAGGGGGTAGTAGGTTAGCAAGATATTCGCGTATACTCGGAGGCTTTACCTTATATAGTCGGCTAATCTTATTCTTACTACGATAGCAAGTAAGGCAATTCGTAAGTAGTATAGTAACGATATATATCGCTCTAACCGGTATTAACTCGACTCGGAGCCTATAGAAGTACTTTATTAACTCGAAGTTATTAACAACCTTAGTAAAGCCCTATTCGACTAATTAGCGGACAGCACTTATCTCCTTTATAGCCGTAGCCTCGTCGGTATTGCGAAACTCGCTATTTACGGTTTTCTAGCTTCTTATAATACTATCGACGACATTATATACTTAGTTACTATATAAGAATACCCGCTCTTCGAAGGGTCGATATAGCTGTCTAGGGGGCTCGAAATACGACTTCTAGACCTAATTAAATCTACTCTCTAGTATTAACGTTATATTACTGTAGGAGCTAGGTGCTAGACTATATAGTAATATTATACTATCCGGAAGGACAATGCCTTAATATTTGAGGCTATAGAAGTACTTATATCTATTATAGAACGGCCGCTAGTTATAGGTCGGTCTATAGCACTTCTATAACGTACTATCGATATATCCGAAGATATACTTAATATCGATTAAGTTAGTAATAGTAACGGCTATTCGCTATAGGTATACTTTACTTAGCTAATTAAAGTCCTATACTAATCGCTCTTTCTAACGCCTTACTAGTTAAGTGTACGCGGTATTAAATATACGACTAATCTAGCCGTTACTGCGACTAAATATCTAGCTTAGGTTACGTTAATAACCTAGATTACTAAGCCTTCCGCAAACGATATATAGCACTATTACTAGATCGCAACGTATACGCTTAGGTAACTCGATCGACCTAATATCTAGTAACTCGGCTAGCTTAATTACTTGCTGCTTAGTAAAACGGAAGTCGCCCTCGAAATTAGCCTTAGGGTATGTCTCTAGTAACTACTACTTATCTCTTAGATACTCGCGTAGCAGCTTATATAGCCTATTGTTACGAGCCTATCTATGCTAGTATTTACGCTCTGTCTCGCCTTCTCGGCGAATAGCTAGATCTAGTAGATTATCGACCTCGGAGGCTAATATAGCCGCGGTTGTTACTAGTATTCTACTATAGATAGCGATTATATCCTTATTGAGTTTACTATTAGTCGAGAAGCCGTCCGAGTCGTATTCTGCTATAGTATGCCGTAGCAATAGACATCTAGTCTATAGTACTAATTATAGTGAGGTCTGAGACCCCGGGCGCTTCTTGGCACCCCTGTTGCTTACTGAGCAGTCGATCGAGAAACGCCACCAAATTGCCTACGCAAGCTCTTATAAGCCGTTATTTGGAATATTCACTTTCCGCCGCTAAAACAGCGCTATTCGCGGGTTCTTACATGTGGCAAACGGCTGGAAACCTACTGCGCAAGGTGCCTATTTCTGGCAGCTCGCAGCTCGTCGTGGGCAAGAAAAGTGCTTCTGACTCGCATTATTATTTGCTTTGTTCTAGTGGCAACCCAGCGCAAGAATCCAGCCGAGTGCGTGTGATGCGTGTGCGATCACGTCGAGATGGGAGGGACACAGGCTGTGACGTGAAGGTTGATGCATACGGGAGATGTTCTCAAATGCTGTAACGATGAAGATATCCATGCAACGCAACGTTAAACATTATCGTCGAACCAAGCGCAGCGCGTTTGTGTGACAGTCGCGCCTGTGCCTGTGCCTGTGCCTGTGCCTGTGCCTGTGCTCCCTCTCTCCCTTCTCCTGGAAGCTTTGAGAACGAGACTTGTCGACGACTCGGCGTTGTGCGGCCTTCTGCCATTGTTAGCGTCCACCGCCCACGCCGCCCATTGTCAGCCTCAACCATCTCCAGGCACGCACGCAGCTGAATACTGAAGTGAAGTCGACGTGCCGACGACACTGCCAGTGCAGTCGGACAGTGCAAGTGGTGAGCTGAGCGCTAGCACGACCAACAGCCGCCGACGACACCGACCACACATTTGAGTTCAGCGCTCCCGCCGAAGTAGAATATCCCTGCTCACCAAGAAACGCCGCCTGCACTGCACTGCACTGCACTGCACCAGCACTTGACCTCACACGCCCACCACACCACACTTGGTCTTGCTTGCTTGCTTGCCTGCGCGCCGCACGAACGACATTCACAGCCATCCACCGCATCAATACAGAACAGCATCACGCGCTGCCATCCAGCGCCCAGCAAGCCCCCCAACCCGCCAGCCATATCCCACCTTTCACCGCCCGGCGCATTGCCGGCAGCTTCTACGCGAGGCTGTCGCTGCTATGGCCGGCAACCAGGGAACGTGAGTAGACCACCTCCCTTTCTCATCTTCACCGTGCCATCCACGTGCGCGCGAGAGGACAACGAGCTTGTTGTGCGCATCGCATCGCATCGCATCGCATCGCATCGCATCGCATCGCATCGCGTGCTATCTCGTGGCAGTGGCAGTGGCAGCGTCGCACACACTCAGGAGCTTGTGAAACACGTGTGTGGAAAGGAGTGCTGCATACTAACGTCCTACAGCCTCTACAGGCCCGACCAATTTCTCAACCCAGGACCAGCGCCGCGACCGCCGACGGACCGCCCAAAGGTCACGCTCACACCCAACGTCTACAACACACCAGGAAACCCCAATCTCACCCACCTCAATACCTCGGTCAACTCTCTCAATTCATCTTCCACCTCTCTGGGACGCACCGAAACTAGCAATGGCGATCTCACCGTCGTCAAAGATGGCTGGGCAAAAGTCAAGGAGGAAGGCGGCGGCTTCATGAAGGCCTTTTGGCAAGAACGCTTCCTGGTCCTCAGGGAGAAGCAGCTTGACTTTTTGAAATCCAGCACCAGCAACAAGACCACCAGCACCATCTATCTGAAAGACGTCTCTCACATCACACGATCAGACAACTATCCCTACGCCTTGGAGATGACCCGAGAAGTCAACAAGATATGGATCCTCAAGTTCGATACCGATACCGACGTCTACAACTGGATGGATAGCATCTATGACCGATGTCCACAGATGGGTGGTGTTTCGCATCCAACCGGGTTTTCGCACCGAGTGCACGTGGGATTCGACCCCGTCACTGGAGGCTTCGTTGGCTTGCCTGTAGAATGGGAGCGCTTGCTTAAGGGGTCAGCCCTGACCAAGGATGATATGGCGAAAAATCCTCAGGCCGTCATGGAAGTGCTTCAGTTCTACACCGATAAGCTTGCTGTGCGATCGGACGATCCCAAGACGTATCCCTCGCTCACTCCAACTCCTTCTGCCGAAAGTGGACGAGACAAGCAACTCGGCTATTCTGCTGGAAACAGCGTCGCACCGCCAAGACCGCAGCCACCGGGCATGAATCGGCAAGAGAGCTATCAAAGTGGAAACAGCCAGTCGAGAGCTCCAGGAAGCGGATACGACTCCGGCTCATCGCGCGATCAGTCCGCCGACCGCTACGGCGCGCCTAAAACGTCTCAAGAAGAGGAGCGTCGCAAAAGGCAAGAGGCTGAAAGGAAACGCACCGAGTCACAGCGACGACAGAACGATGAAGAGCAAGAGCGTAAGAGAAGACAAGAACAAGAAGATCGCGAGTACAACGATTCTTTGCCCAAGAACAAGATCCCACTGGCCAAGCAAGAGATTGGTGGTGGTGGGTACTCGGGCGATTCTGGTTCACGAGATGCAAGTCCAGCACCACAGCAGAGTCGATACAATGCGAGCAGGCCTGCTCCTGCCACTCCCTCAGCCAGTAAGAACGGACAGGCTGGGAGTCAGCTGCCGCTGCGTAGCCTGCAAGCGCAAAGACCGGCGCCAGCGCCTCCGGGCTCACAGAATGGTTCGTCTGCTTCTGTTAAGAAACCTGTGGCAAACGGCTCATCTCCATACGCAGTCAAACAACCGACGACCACGCCAGGTCAGGAGAAGAAACCCGACCAACCGTTGGCCCCAAAACCGGCAGGCTCGAGCGGTCACCAGAAGCAAGGGTCGACCTCGCAACAAGTCAAGCCACTCAATATCGCAACCAAGCAGCCATCCGGCAAGCCCGATGCTGTCAAGGCGGCGGAAGCAGCATTGACGAAGAAAGATCCAAATGAGTCGAAGCAGAAAGAAGTGCGCATGAGCGCCATGTCCGATGCCCAGGTTATGGACCGACTGCGTTCTGTTGTCACCTTGAGTAATCCTCTTGAGAGCTATAACAAGCAGAAGAAGATCGGTCAGGGTGCATCAGGCTCAGTATATGTTGCACGGATTCGCGAGAACGCGCCCAGCAAGACCGCGCAGGACATTATCAAGCAGTACGGTCCTCGAGCTCAGGTCGCGATCAAGCAAATGGATCTGCGATCACAGCCCAGAAAGGAGCTGATTGTTAACGAAATCATCGTCATGAAGGAGAGCCGGCACGACAACATTGTCAACTTTCTAGATGCATTTTTACAAGAGGACACGTTCGAGCTTTGGGTGGTCATGGAATTCATGGAGGGCGGTGCTTTGACAGATGTCATCGACAACAACGCTTCTATCACGGAAGAGCAGATTGCGACCATCTGCTACGAGGTGAGCCTAATGCGGCACTCGGCTTGAAATGCTTACTAACTTTTCCCAGACATGCAAGGGCCTCATCCATCTACACGCACAAAACATCATTCACAGAGACATCAAGTCTGACAATGTGCTGCTTTCGTCACGCGGCGCAGTCAAGATTACCGATTTTGGCTTCTGCGCGAAGCTGACTGAACAGCGCTCGAAGCGCGCCACCATGGTCGGTACGCCATACTGGATGGCACCGGAAGTCGTCAAACAAAAGGAGTATGGCTCCAAGGTTGACATCTGGTCGTTGGGTATCATGGCCATCGAGATGATAGAATCCGAGCCTCCATACCTGAACGAAGAGCCGCTCAAGGCACTGTACCTGATCGCCACCAACGGCACACCGAGATTGAAGAAGCCGGAGAAGTTGAGCAAGGAACTGAAGGCGTTCTTGAGCGTCTGTCTCTGTGTGGATGTCAAGTCCAGAGCCACCGCAGAAGAGCTTGGACGGCATGAATTCCTCCAGCATGGATGCTCTCTCGCCAGCTTGAGCGAGCTACTGCGATTCAGAAAGGGAGGCGGACATTAGGAGCCGCCGCTGCCGTCACAAGAACGCGTGCCATCAGCACAGCCTCGTGGCTTGCCATCGCGCTACAGACCGCGCGTGCTCGACAGTTCGGGGTCCATACAAAACAGACTCAGAGAGCATGACAATGCCCATTTACACCAACCAAAACCCTTTCGCTCGTGGGAGCCACACTATACCAGAACTGGATTTGGCTACTGGCACAGTGATCCGGGTCCGAGTCGAGGCGAGGCGACGAGACGAGGATTTGGTCGACGAGATGATGAGAACGAAGAAGTGATCAGCGCTTGTTGAAAGAAAAAAAAAGATGCAAGAAGATACCACAACCATTACCGCTGGAAAATTGGGAACTCGTGGGAATGGGAAATCGTAAGGGATAGGATGGATGGATGGATGATAACGGAGGGAATGGGGTCCCCCAAAATCGGCGTTCGGTTTTTCTCGGTTCGGCATTGCGGATGGGTGCCTACGAAGTAATTGACTAACGCCTGTTTTTTCCCCTTTTCATCATCAAGGAAAGTCGCTGAGTGCGCATGAGTGAGTGAGTGTAGCCAGCCAGACAGAGAATGTATGCCGGATATGAAGAAATTTGTGCGTGTTCTTGTCTTGATCTGAAAAAATTTGAGACGTTTGGTAAGATGAAATGGATGGATGGCTACTCTTTACAGTTCTCGAAGTGAAGCAACGTCCTCGCAGCCGATGCGGTATACGCGTCTTCAAACTTTATATATTATACTATACCTAGGTCCTCTCCAACCATCTCTCTCTCTCTCTCTCTCTCTACTTTAATCCTGTCTGTCTGTTTGTTACCAAACAAAGCCGAATCCTCCTAACCCATCTATATTCAATCCCCGCCATGCCTGCACTCGTCCTCGCCACCCCTCTCCGTGGGAAATCAGTCTACGATGGATATGCTTGGTTGGGGTGTGAGAATGGCTGCTAGTACGTTCCGTTTCCGTTTTCCCACAAGCTTGAGAAAGTGCGTGATGAGTGAGTTGGCTGGCTGGCTGGCTGGGATTTTTCTTTTTTTAATTGTAGGTGAAGAAAGTTTTTTTGGGGGGGGGGGGGGGGGGGGGGACTTCGGTACAAGAACAGGCCTTTTTTTGAGATATGAAAGATATGAAGATACATACACCTCGGAGAGCTTCTCTTCTCTTCTCTTCTCCTACCCAAACACCGTCGCCGTACTCGAATAATACAAATTCATCAAATTCCCCGCCCCACAATACTGTTTCGAATTTCCCGCACACAGCATCAGACTGTCCACATCACAAGTCCCTGTCTTCGCTCCCCCGGCGTAATTGATCGTGTTGTCGCAATAACATTCCCTAAAACAAATCAGCTCAGAATCCACTCAGTCCATACACACGCTTTCTTTGTAACTTACCGTCCATACTCCAACCCCGCATACCGAAAAAACCTCCCCAAACAAAACTTCACACACAGATTCACCGTCATCTTCTCACTCGTCATACTCGCAGCTTTCAGGGAACGACCGGCAGCACCGCCAGGATCGGTTAAACACCCCTTCGTCACGTATTTTCCAATCGAAGGGGCTATGGCCGGGGCGACGAAATCTAGTTGTTTGTACAGCGATAATGCGTTCGGGCCGCCGCATAATTGGTCTCCGGCTCCGGTGCAACGCATGTTACAAGTGGAGTTGGTCGGGGTAGATGTGAGGTTGGTGAGGATGTTGCCGTTGCTGAGGAAATTCCCGCAGAAACATTGCGTTCCGTATTCGGTGCCGTAGTATTGGTAGCCTTGTCCTCTATTCCCGGCGGCGCAGTAGGCTTGACAGACGGTAGTGTTCATGCGGAGGGAGGTGGTGGAGTCGCCCGTGAGGACTCGTCCGGCTCCGTTTAAATTGTCGGTGGCGCAACCTAGGTAATTGGGAGGGAATGCGGTGAGATTTTTCACTTCTTGTACGGCGCCGGCGGAGTTTTCCATGCTTCCGTTTGCGTTGAAGGATGGGTCGGTGTTGTTGTAAATACTGATGTATGAGTAGCCGCCGCAGATTTGTTGGTTTCCGCCTTCGATCATGGTGGCGCCGCAGTTCCAGGTGCATCTTGAGGGGTCGGAAATGGCGGTGGGGTTCATGATGTTGTCGCAGTGGCATTCTTGGCCGTATTCTACGCCTGCGAGGCGATAGCCTTGGTTGTTACACCAGCTCTGGCACCAGTCGACGGACATGACGCTGTAGTTAGAGATTGAAACGGCGTTGAGTGCTCGGACTGCGCGCTCGGTGTCGTTGAAACATCCGACGTATTTTTGGTAGGGGGAGATGCCGAAGGAGGCGCCTGGTGTTGCTGTGAGGGTAGGTAAAGGCGTGGAGTCTACAGTTCTGGTGATGGAAGGCTTGGGTGAGCTGGCGGGACAGTTCATGGATGCTGCCGGCGCCGCTTCTGGTCCATCGGTGATGGTGATACAGCCCGGCAGGCGAGAAATCAGGCCCTTGACTGGCTCGCCGATTTGAGGAGGTCGTTCTGGGCAGTTGTAGGGGTAGCCGTCGGATTGAGAAGCTTGCAGCGCCGGGCACTCGCTGATCTGACCGAAGTTGTCGGTCGATAAGCAGTTTTGAACGGCTTGACGGAGGACGGCGCTGTCCCATCCATTCTGGAAATCTCCGTGGAATCCGTATCCTGTCGAGTCTCCTTGTGAGAAAACAAAGCGGCCACCGGTCTCTTTCGGTACATTGGCGACACTGTACAGCGTTTCGAGGAAGATGTGTGGGAGCTGGATGGGATGGGTGGGAGGGCAAATGCCGTTGTCGATCTGCGATTGATAAGCGACGTGGCTGTTGTCAGCTTTGTAGAGGTCTTTCCCATTCCAGCAGCTTTGGAAGTGTATCTGGGCACGCATGCCGTATGGACAATCGGTGCTCGCCATGTAGGGCGTCTCCGGCTGCGGCTGATACGCCAAGCAGGCAAAACTAACACGATCTGCGATGGGTCGGCCGGGATAAGTTGCGTTACCCCAAGTGTATGTTTGGTTGTCATAGCTTCGAGCCGATTTGTCTCCCGAGAGAATATTCAGGCCTTTCGGGAAGGGGATCGTTGAGTTGACCAGTGGTCCACGACCAAGGTAGTATGCCACGGCGCCATCGTGAGGTACTTCTAAGAAGCTGCCATTGGGATAAGAGTAGTAAAGTGTCGGTGACCAGTACGCCGACTTGTCAGCACCGATTTCGCAACTCGTGCATTGCGAGTTGAGGAGGGATTGATACGTCGCATTGATGCCAATGTCTACCAGAAGTCAGCTTCCCGAATGTTTTGCATATGTTTGTGTGCTTACTCGATCCTCCAACGATGGTGTGAGAATGCGCTGCAATGTCTCCATAGTTTACAAGTGGGTCAATCCGTCCTCTTTGCACGACCGCGCAATTCATCCGCCAAAATGCCTCGACATCGTCCAGCAGACTGAGTGCAAGGGCTAGGTAAGCAGCGCGTAGCGAAGGCATATCGACGACGGACGCCGCCAGTATGCGTCGACCGCAAGGAAGAAACAACAAACCAGAACGAATGACGGTAGTTAGTAGGCGATCACCCTCTCCACGAACAATCGAGGAGAGTCGAATCAGTCAGCATCTTCTTTGGCAGACATTGAGCACATGGCCAAATTCCAGACGATCGCGTGGTCTAAACAACATGGCAACTTTCCTGCTTTGGGTTGCCGGCGCTCTCGAGGCTGGCATCTTCAGCCGGCTCAAAGAAGCGAACGGATGAAATCCTGATCCGCCAGTCCGCTCGTCTGGTCCTGGCTTTCCTTGAGCAGCTTCTTTGTGAGGATACGCCGATCCAGATTGTTGGTGTTCAGGCTGGCTAATGTGGTAAGGGCAGAGGCAGGCGAGATGGCGGAATGGAACAAAGGAATGTAAGCTCATAACCTTCCACTCGGACGTTCTCGCCAAGGTCAAGCGGTCCTCTGATTTGAACACCACACAGAAGGATGTGAGTCCTACAGTTGTGTACACTGGCATCTTGCACGCGAGATATTGGTGAGGGGCTCATGAACACCGGACTGGATGTAGCCATACTCCACCTCAAGTCTCAAGCAGAGGCACGGGTAGACGTCAGGTTGATCTTCCGTTGGATCCAGCCCGGCTTGATATCAAGCATGTTTCCCGTCTTTCATGTGATTCTTTCGAGATGATGGCGGTGCATAGGAGATCCGACACCATTCGCAGTCTAACCGGATTCGCAAAATGTCGTGATGTCATGCGAGGTCCAAGCGCTCGCTGGCAGGAGCATCGCGTCGCGACTCGCGTACCGTTGGTGAACAGGCCAAGCGAATGCAGAGCACGAGCGGGAACAAATTTGCAGACGATCTCACGATGAGCTACTACGGTGAATGCTGCCAAGGAATAGGAATGATGGTGCAGCAGACGACTGATCGTGCACAGATGCCTTCGTGGAGAAGGTGGTGGACAGCGGCTATCTGCCACAGTTCGTGCTGCGTCGTGGCATCCGCCAACAGCTGCAGACACGCATCAACATGATCAGCTCGACAAGCCTGGCCGACAGTTACGAGACCAAGATGAAATATGTCGACCTGCTGAGAACTCGACCCATTGCCATTGAGACGGCCCAGGCAAATGAACAGCATTACGAAGTCGGCACCGGAGTGCTGACCACCATGCTGGGACCACGCATGAAGTACAGCAGTTGTCTCTATCCCAAGGGCACCGAGACTCTTGCTCAAGCGGAGATGGCCATGCTCGAGAGCTACGTCGAAAAGGCCCAATTGAAAGACGGCATGCGGCTTTTCGATCTTGGGTAGGCACTCCATTCTTCCATGCATCCATCGTTTCGCGAATGTCTCTCTGATGTGTGCCTTTGCAGCTGCGGCTGGGGATCGTTGTCGCTCTACCTCGCTGAAGTCTTTCCAAACGCGAACATCACAGCATTCTCGAACTCGAAGACACAGAAGCAGCACATCGATGAAGAAGCCAGGCGAAAAGGGCTACGAAACCTGGAGGTGGTGACCGGCGATATCGCAACGTATTCCTTTGCTGGCACGCGACTGGAAGGTGAATTCGATCGCGTGCTCTCCATCGAGCTCTTTGAACACATGAAGAACTACGAGCTGCTCCTGGCCAAGATCTCAACTCTGCTCAAACCAAAGGGCAAACTGTTCGTGCATTACTTTTGTCACAAGAATTCGCCCTACGACTTTGAGTCTGGCTGGATGACCACGTACTTCTTCACGGGCGGTACCATGCCGTCAGCCGATCTGCTTCACTACTTCCAGCGAGATCTTAAGCTAGAGAGGCAATGGTGGGTCAGTGGGAAGCACTATGCGAAGACTTGCGAAGACTGGCTGAGGAAGATGAATGCGAACAAAAGGCAGCTCTGGCCGCATCTGGAAGAAACGTACGGCAAGGAGAGCACCGCGACGTGGTTCTACCGGTGGCAAGTGTTCTATCTTGCTTGCGCAGAGTTGTTTGCATGGAATGGCGGCGAGGAGTGGGGAGTCTGCCACTACTTGTTTGAAAAGCCAGCAGCATGAGTGTCCGAGCACCATCCGGAAAGCAGTGACGCAGCAGCGGTAACGCACGACCTTTGAAAATCACATTCTGATAGCCACCAACTCCAAACTCCAGCCTTGCGCCAGTCGGACGTGTCTTGCCAGCTATAGCTTGCACAGCGACGAGCAACGTACACCGGCATCAGGCCATGCATCATTTGGTCATTGAGTGAAGCAAATATCTTGCAAGTGAACAATGACGGAATCTGCGGGCAGGCAGCAGGACAACAATAGCGAACGTTGAAAACCGAAACAATCAGTTACAAGCCGCAGAACCTCACTTCCGTCGAACTACAAAAGTCTCCTTTCCACTCGCAATCCTTCTTGTCTTTTCTTCCACAAACATCGCATCGACCAAACAGCCTGCCACTGCCTACCACCGCCTTCAATCTCGAACATCAACCACACGCACTTCAAGCTAATCATACCACAAGGCATCGCATCAACCATGTCCGACGAGGCCCAGACTCCAACCGGCGACGCCACCTTCACCCCAGCAGAGGTCAAATTCATCCTCGCTGCCATCAAGAATGCCGAAGGTGGCACATTCAAGGTATGTACCGCTCACGACCACACCTGCACATCTACTGATTCCTTTCCAGTTCGACGCCGAAGCCGTCGCTCAAGAGCTCGGCATGAAAGACGCCGGCTCAGTCAAGGCTCGCTGGAACACCATCAATCGCAAGAAGATCCAAGTCGCCAGCTCGCCAGCCGGTGGCGTCGACAAGACTACGCCGACTAAGAAGGTATGTCATGAACGGGACGTTGCGCTGTGTTGCAAGATGCTTATCCCTTCTGCAGAATCCCACGCCAAAGAAGGCTGCTGACGGAGATAAGACGCCCAAGAAGCGTGGTCGTCCGAAGAAGGTTTCTGCTGCTGCTGACGTTACGGCTGAGAAGGAGCCGACTCCAGAGAAGAAGGATGACGAGGAGAAGAAGGCTGAGGGTGGTGGTGCTGAGGACGACGTCAAGGAGGAGGCTGAGGATTAAGTCAGCGCTTGGGAATTCGAGGCTCATGCATGCATGCATACATACCATACGACAGCGCTACTGGTGAGGGCAGAGCGAGCTTTGAGTGAGCACTTCGGTTTAGATACCATACTGTAAGAGGGCCAAAAACGAATCGAACGGAATCAGGCGTTCAAGATGAATGTTGTGTGCTTTGGCTCAGACTTCAAAGTCCGATTGTCCGCACAAGTCAAGCAGGTACTAGAAAATCGAAGCCTGGAGCAAGAACAACAAGTTGATCGAACAGCAGCGATGCTCGAGATATCTATGATCTGTAAGTGAAACTCGGCCAGAGTAATATTGATGTGCTTCCTTCAATATCTTGACGGTAACTTTGACGAGCCACTTCTACCTCGGTCGACATCGAGCTTCGAGCTTCTACTCAACTGATAAGCACAACGACAGCATCCATTCTCCCTCCACACTACTCACCCTCAACTCGCCCTCCCTCGCTCGCCATAACCATGCTCCTCCTCGGCCTGACAGGAAGCATAGCAACCGGAAAATCCACCGTCTCCGAAATCCTCTCCTCCCCACCCTACAACCTCCCAATCGTCGACGCCGACAAAGTCGCCCGTCAAGTCGTCGAGCCGGGGACACCAGGCTACCAAAAAATCCTCAAAACCTTTGGCCCAACCTGTCCCGACCTGCTCGTGGAACCCACACCGGAAAACGGAGGTGAAACTGGGCATGACGGGAAAGGAAGAGCTCTCAACCGCCCTGCGTTAGGGAGGAGGGTGTTTGGGGAGGGGAAAGATGAGGATCGGAAGGCGTTGAATCGGATTGTACATCCTGCGATCCGGAGGGAAATGTATCGACAGATGTTGGGTGCGTATGTGCGAGGGCATTGGGCGGTGGTGTTGGATGTTCCGTTGCTTTTCGAAAGTGGATGGGAGGCTTTGTGTGGGACGATTCTGGTGGTGGCGGTTTCGGATCCGAGGATTCAGATGGAACGGTTACGAGCGCGAGATGTGCATCTCACGGACGAAGATGCGAGGAATCGGGTGGCGGCGCAGTGGGATGTTCGGGATAAGGCGGAGAGGTGTTTGAGACGGGGGGAGAGGGCGGGGGTTGTGGTTTGGAATGATGGGGGGAAAGATGAGCTTAAGAGGCAGGTTGATCGGGCTATGGTGAGGGTTCGGGAGGGGAGTCCGCAGTGGTGGGCTTGGGTTTTGTTGCTGTGTCCGCCTGTTGCGGTTTTGAGTGGGGGGTGGAGTTATGTTAGGAGTTGGTGGATTAAGAGGCAGTGGGAGAAGGAGAGGGTCGGAGAGAAGGCTAAGCTCTAGCTCTGAGTGATCATGGTAATGGTAATGGCATGGTATATGAGAATTCTCACCAACTTAGAGCGAGTAAGTGGTCGAGAGGAGTGACGACAGTGCACGAATGATGCCCATGACTGATGCTCCGCTTCATTTTCAGCACGATCTTACCAGTTTTGGCACACGACTAGCAATTTCCTCCTCACAAAGGCCTGGGTGCTTATGGGAGACTTCGAATCCTTTCTCCTCTGCTCTCTCGATAGTGAAGCAGATGTCTTGCAAACGGCTCGCTTCCGTCCAAGCAACGACGTCACGACATAAACAAATATCAGACTGCCCCAAGACGACACAGCTCCCCGCTGGCATCTACTCCATAGACATGGCCTCGACCAGGTTTGAGAGCGGGATTGATGATGCGTCGAAGCCACCGGGGTTCAGCTCAACGCAGCAGCGGCGACATGGAAACGACAGATTCGACTTTCAGCGCCATGTCGACGGCGCAGCTGCGGGCGCAACAGGCGCATGGGAGTTTGGCAGCGCTCTGGACTCCTTTGTAGACGATAGATGTCCTACAATCTGGAATTCGTCGGGAAAAGGGGTTTCTCTGCCCAAAGCAAGCATTGGAAGACCTCTAGACGCGCCTATCTCGGCGGAAGCCACCAAGCCTGTCGGCGACCTGCGAGAACGAGCATCTGATGGAGCGACTTTATTTGCTTCTGCAATCGATCCGGGTGTTACAAATTGCCCACCACCATCTAGCGAAACTGCGAGACCTCCGATCTTCCTCCCACCTCAGCAAGACGCCGCAGACGGCGCGACATACTTTGCCTCCGCAATCGATCCGGGCTCGAGGAGTGAGCCTGCACACGCACGAGAAAACCAGACTCGACTCCTTGTGCCGCAGGAGCTGAAGAAATTTGCAAAGCGCAAGAAGGCTGACGGGCGTGCTGAAGAAGCTACTGGGTTGGTCTCAGGTATTGATGGCGGTACATGTATCCGACCGCCAGCCCCCTCGGCTCCAAGTCATGCCGCCATCGATGCCGCTACTTTGGCACCGCCTGACGAATCGCTGTTGAACGTCCCACGAGCGACTCGAATCAAGCCTCTCGATGGTGACCTCCTACGGAAGCTCTTCAAACACACTATGAACGAGAAGCAGCGCGCCGAAGAGTCGTTTCGACCTGCTCAGGAAGTGAAGGAATCTTCCCCATCACGCAAGATCTCGAAATCTCCTCAAGGATTCCACATTCCCGACCGCCAAGATTTGCGGAACGCGCGAAATGCAGCAAAAGCGGGAGAAGAGCGAGCTGCTCGGGAACAAGAAGCTGCCAAACGGCAAGCGGCACAGTCTTCGGCCAGAGAGCCCTCGAATTCTGGCAGCGCTGTGTCGGTGGGAAGGAGTGAGCGCGTCACTTCAAAGGACCCTACTCGTATGATTCGTATATTGGCGAAGAGCGGCGAGGAGGCATTTATACAGGTGCCAAATTTCGCGCCGAGCAGGCCACCGTCTACGAAATCGGAGCCTCCACCACCGCGACAAGAAGCGGAAAAGAAGAAACCAGCAGTTCGAATTCCGCATTCCAAGAAGCAAAAGCAATCTGAGAAGCCGAATAAGAAACAGGACAATCCCCAAAAGGAAGAATCACGACGACGAGCTAAAGCTGCAAAAGTTGCCGCTGAAGCCCTGATGTCTGGTGCGCTCCCTTCAAAAGAGCACGTCACGTCAGAGCCTGGATCAGCTCAAGATTCTGGCGTTGGCTTTGGCTTTGGCAAGGCAGTCTCTGCTCGCTCACAAGCCGGAAGCGTTGCCAGAGCAGAGTCGAGGTCATCTTCAGCGAAACATGTATCTGCATCCAACAAAACACCTCCAACGAAAGCGCTCTCAGCACATGGTTGGCAGGAATTGGCCGAGGCCACTTACAAAGCAGCAGAGCCAAACCCGAAACCACCATCTCAAGCATCGCGAACGAAATCTGCTTCTGTCGCCGAATGGTTGGAGTTTGACGCGCCCGCGCCGGCGACCTCAGTAAAGCCACCGTCGGAAAAACGTTATCAGACAGATTGGCAAGAGCTTGGTGAAGGTAAGCAGCAAGCAGAGTCCAACCGCAGTATGCACGTGGCTTCTGTACACAGTTTTCAATCGATTGGCGAAGGCTGGGCAAAGGAGCAGAACGCCGGAGCGCGCTCAGTAAAGCCACCATCACCCTCGGCTGAAAGCGTGAAAACACGATCTCAGACTGGATGGGAAGAGATTGGTGAAGTCGAGAAGCACGCTGCGTCCAACCGCAGCGTGGTATCTTTACGCAGTTTTCAACCGATGGGCGAAGGTAAGCAGCACGTCGGCTCCGCCAAGTGGCCGCATCGAGAGTCCAACCGCAGCATGATGTCTTTACGCAGTTTTCAAGCGATTGACGGAGGCTGGACGCAGGAGCAGAACGCCGGAGCGCCCTCGGTGCGGAATTTCCGTCAGGACGATGCTGCCTGGATGGACGGAAACGCTTCGAAGCATTCTTTGGGCACGGGACGTTCACGTATTGCTTCTGCGAATCGAAGTCGAGCTTCTTTTCCAGGTTGGCAGGAGATGGAGATGCCCCCAGACCGCACTCCGGATGCTGCAGTATCGATACGCTCGCGTATTGCTTCTGCAACTAGAAGTCAGGCTTCGTTCCAAGGATGGGAGGAGATGCCCCCAGAACGCACTCCGGATGCTGCAGTATCGATGCGCTCGCGTATTGCTTCTGCAACTAGAAGTCAGGCTTCGTTCCAAGGTTGGGAGGAGATGCCCCCAGACCGCACTCCGGATGCTGCAGTATCGACGCGCTCACACCCGTCGAACATTCAGTCCCGACAGGCCTCAAATCGCGCGAGTCGGAGCATTGAGAGACACGCTCCGCCCCTGGTCCATCTCGACGAAGCGTCTCCACAACTCTCTCATGCGTGGGCACAGCGGGATGCGCAGGACATTGAACCTTGGCCACAATACGGAGAACTGCACCGTTCTTCGCCATCTCCAAGCCGAGTTCCGCTTCCGCGCTCGGTGTCTGTCTCACAGGACAGTCACCACACAGAAGCTGGACTAGAATTTCAGCTTCCGCCAAGACGCACCAACACTGTCTCGCACCACTTCGAACACTCCGTCCATGCATCGTCAGTCCGTAGTCAGCCGCGCAGGAATCAGATCTCGATGCACTCCCTCAGCGCACACGAGGAATCAGATCGCATTGTACCCCAAGGCGAGGATGAGCCCCTCCCGCGACTCACAGCGCATGCCGGCAGAGGCTGGATCACACCGCACCCGCTAAGTCCCACCTCATCCATCGCCGGCCCTCAATCCAAAGTCATCTTGCCCAGCGACGCACATCCAAATGGCCGTACATTGACCTACGACGAATGGAAAGAAATGCAAGAGCGAGGTTTGCGCCTTCACCGCAACATCTCGATTACAGAGAGCAGCAAGACCAAAAATGGGATTTTTCAAGATGAAAGATATCTGCGTCCGGGATGGGAGGGGCATGATCGTGAGGGACCACCCGAACCTGAAGAAGCTGCCGAGCACGTCTCAAGACCTCCTGGAAGACCGAGTCATTATCATTCTCCGACTGTGCGGAGTGAGGGTAGTGAGAGAAGTGTCATGATGCCATCAGCCCATGCTCAAACCTTTCAGCGGAGTCAGGAGCCTTGCGAGAGACTGTGGGAGGAGATGGAAGAGGGTGTAGCTGGATTCGCGATGCCGGTGTCTCATGCAGAATCTGGTGGATCGGCACGTGCTGAAATGCAGCAGGATATCGACAGACCGGCTTCTACGGTAGCATCCTTTCGAAGTGGTCGCTGGTAGTCGGGAGTTTCCGTGCTTGGTTGGTGTCATGTCAGGCAAGGCAAGGCAGCAGGCCTGGTACATAATATCATCATCTTGTTCTCGACATCTCATTACTCCCACATCCTCCACATCAGAGAGAGAGAGAGAGAGAGAGAGAGAGAGAGAGAGAGAGAAGTTTTGCTGCACCTCCGAAACCACGTTCAATGCCGAATTTCTTTCGAGCTTCACGCCGGTCCCATACTGTATGTAATTCAACTCAGAGTCAACGGATCGAACCGCAGTGGAGCGACTAACTATACGATGAGATTTTTCATCACAGAATGCAGGCGCTGCAAGATGAATTCGACTAACACTCATTACAAGTAAACCTGGGATATCCTTTTCTGTCTCAGGCCAGAAATTCGCTGGCAAGCAGCTACTGTAAAAGAAATTGCGAGCTTCAGTTCTGGGTAGCAATGCAGCGTTCACAGCTCTGATTAAGTCTTATATTGATCATGCACAGCTCCAAAATCGGCAGAATCTCATTGTATGCAGTGCGTTCGGCCAGTTGAGGTAGCTAGCTGCCTTGTTAGAATGTGGTCTTGGACATCATACCGATTATTCCTGGCTATTGAGTGTTGTTTTGACTTAGCGGCCGTTATCTCTACGCCCCATCGAGTCGAGACTGGGTATGAGCGCTTCTCCTCGATCAGTGATTGCATCCATTCCACCTACGATGTCGAAATCGAAAGTCGCGGGGGTCTGGAAAGGCTGCATTGCCAGTAAGTTTGGAGTTGATGTTTCTCGGACTGAATTGACCATCCCGAGCAATAGATCGCTCGATGGTCCAAGACGCATAGCCAAACCATCATGCGTTTTCAACCAACGCCTTCAGCAGCCTTCTCCACCACTCCCTCCATCCTGAACGGCGGCAATTTTCCGCTTCTTGGAGAAATTTCCTTTCGCCTCCACAGTGCCTTCGAGAGGTATAGCCCTCCTCGCCGTGAAGATATAGCCTTCCGCACCACCTCGACCAGTCATAAGCGGATGTGTGCGGCCAGGTAGAACTTGCCAATCGCGGATTCTACTTGTTTGGATGCTCGCAGCGAGGAGCATTCTAGGGTCGATCGGGAAATCCTCCTTCTCGGGTACCTCTCCCTTGCTGAGGTGGTTGATGTACGCTGTGCGGCGATCTTTGGAGAACAAGTCGATGGTGTTGACAAGCGGCTCGATGGTAGGGCTGTAGATTACAACATGTCCTCCACCGCGGATGAGTGGGACGAGGTTTTCGAGGATTTCTGTGTGGTCCATATGTGTGGCGATTACCAGGCCGTCGAAGCCACCGGAGCGTGTCTCGTCGACTATTGCTTTGCAGCGTTCCCACCTTCGCCGCTTCTTGTAGTAAGTGCCTCGCTTGCCGGATTTCCAGGTCGCCAGTGCTTCATCGCTCACTCGCTCGGGCTCGACGTAGATTGGATCTTCTTCCGGATGTAGGAGCTGGAGCCATGAGAGTGGTTTCAAGTGGGTGTGGAGTGGATGCTCTTCTTCTTGACTTGCGATCGTCGGATTACTCGTGTCGTAGCCAAAGTATTTCAGGATCGACGCATTGGGCTGTGCTGCTGCGTGCAGTAGTGTGATGCTGTTGGAAGTAGCTGGCATGGGAAAGTCGCGATGTAGTGGCTGCTTTGGCTTTGCGGTGCCATTAGCTTGTGGTTGGTCGTGGGAATCCTCTGCCTCGGGAGCTGGGTTGGACTTTGTCGTCCTAGGGAGTGGCGGATGGAGGATAGCCATGCGCTCAGCCAATGCTGCCACCGCCAAGCCACCAGTATCGTCAACTACGAGCCACCTCCCGCAAGGTGTGTCGCGCTCCTCTCCAACCAGACCGAGTGGATCTGCACCGCTGAGATGCACGTTACTCCAGGCAGTCACCAGACCCAGCGACTCTTCCCGCATCTCCATTATCCGAGGAGCATCCTTCTCCAGCAAAAACTCGATTAGGTTCCCCATATCCATTGGTAGCACTGTGAAGCGTTTCAAGTACTTCTGCCGCTTTCGCAGCAGATATTTCGCCTTGGAGTAGACCGTCTTCTCATCTAACCCGACATGGCTTGCCAAGATCTTCTCAATGACCTCTTTCCCAGCAGCAGACTTCTTCAGCTCTTCAATCTCGGCATGCGACAGTGTTTGCCGGCTTGCATCGTCAATCGTCATCTGGTTCGTCTTCACAGTCGGATCCTCCGCCGCGAGATTGTATCCATCGGGCAACGCGCCATCATCTGGCGTCGCCGGCTCGCCTCTTGATTCTGCCGGCTCAGCATCTCCAATGCCGGCTTCTGCATTCAGTTCGGCCTGCGGCACGAGTCGCAGTCTAGAATACAGCTCGCCCGCTTTCCGCTCGAGCAGCTCGTAAGTGTGGTAGTACGGTCGACCTAGAAGAAGATTGGAAGGAAAAGAGCCCAGCTTGCCAACCTCGATGATCCTGCGCCATTCTCAGTATCGTGTATGGCAGCCAGGACACATCGAATCGTTGCGCGGGGGACCTGTTTGCATCACCTACGTATTTAGTTTGATCTCAATTAGCCGCAATGTCTCTGTGGGGAGGCGGAGGAAAAGATATGTGTTCGGGCGAATATATGAATGCTGTGCGCTCATATTGCTGACTTTCGTGCGGATGGTGAAGATCTTCGAGAGGTCTTGAACTTTGTGGTGGAGTAGAGTTCTACAAGTGGCTGACTCAGCATCCCGCTTTTTGAGCATCGCGATCAGAGTTGCAATACTCCTCCAAGTGAATAACTGTTCGTGCGCTTTCATGTGATTGCAAACGTCCACCAATACCATCTCAACAGGTTTCGTGCTGTCCTCATGTCGTCCTTGACTTGCTTGCGGACCACATTGCGCAGGGCCCTAGGTGCGTTTTGCAGCAGCATGGCCCGACCCCATCGCACCTCCTGCTCCTTTCAGCTCCTCCATTGATCCCCATATGTTGGACTACAAGCAAGTCCGCGTCGGCCAACTCGCTGCTCTTATTGCCACGGAGACCACGTTGCTTGAACGCGATCGCACGTCGCTCAATGGGTCGACGGACCATGGCTCATCACATGAAGATGCCAGTGCACGACAAGTACACCGCACAGCTGTCATTGCCGCCCCTATTCAATTGCAGGAACTTCTCATGAGTCTGATCGAGCGCATAATGCATCATCATGTACGTGGTCTCCTAAAACCTCCCGCATTCTCATCCTCAACACACATTCTGGTTCTACAACATTCTTGATCGCTTCGACATACCACCCAAAGTTCCGCTATATGACAGCATCACCTACACCCAGCTCGCCCTTGGTATCTCGGTCTTCCATCAGCTTCATTGTCTGAAATCTCTCCAGACCACCTTTAATAAGGCAATCATTCAACGGGTAACGTCCGACGAGTTGGGAGGGGACCGTCTTGTGCATACGCATCACTGCTTCGACTACATCAGACGCGCCTTAATGTGTGCAGGTGACATCGCACTTGAGGGCCAGTCCTCTGGTACACATCTGCCTGCAACTACCGGCGAAGGCTCTTTCCACTTATGCAGGAATTATGAAGCGATCAAAGCGTACGCGGCAGAGCATAGACTTGGCAATCAGTAAAGTAGCTAGCACTACAAGAGAGACTTTTGATATCTTTAGTCTAGGAATTTTTGTCAGTATTGTGTATAACGATCGCCACCCTTTGCCCGCACTTACCTGTTTCCTCGATACAATCCACGTTACGGTAGCCGCAGTCGCACTGCCGCCCAGCATATAGATACCTTCCTTGACGGACAGTCAATCAACACTTTATCGCTACTCTCGTCCCAAGCACGACACTGAAGAGACTGTATTCAGAAGCGTACTATTCAGCTCTTATTGCATGGCCCCAAGAAGTTGCGCCTAGTCGCTGTAAGAAAGATCCGGGATGAATCGCACTTCCCTGTCCACAGGTATAGAGAGAACATCACTGTAATCACTATAGACTGGTCCAAGCTCTGGGTGTATGTAAGTATAGGGTGTCTGACCATTGTTCTTTTTCGCCCATTCCACGGTGGCATCGTGGTCGCGACACTGGTGTTGTGTTATGTAGTCTTCCCATGGCTCGATCCAGCCATCTGCCCAGTTGTGCGTCGTCACCGTGAGTTCGCCGTGGCATTGGAGTGCCAATCGAAGGAGGTTGATACAATGAGCTAGGAATCTTGTCATCAGCCTTGCACAGCATACACAGCATCTTGTGGTGGGCCCTGTGGCTTACGTATGTGGAGCTCCGGCGGAATCAGGTAATATTCCCACATCTCTTCGTAGAGATGCGAATACAGAGCATTGGTTCTGCGAAGATAATCCAGGCAATGAAGCTGATGGAACACTCCGACAAGAGCAAGATATCCCGACCCATCCGCTGCGGCGACGGAGCTCGGCGAATACTTGTTCAACTTCTTGAGTTGCTCTTTGGACAACTTCACGTATCCCTCTGCAAATCTCGTCCTTAGTGTACGACTCAACTTCCTGCCATTTTGCATCATCTTTACGTACGACCATCAGCCAATGAGATCTGGTTCCATGCACGATCCGCTTCAACAGGGTCCATGGAAGTGTAGGAAAAATTCCGGTCAAGCCTGGTATCCCAAGTGACTATCTTCTCCTTCGTAGGTGCACCCTCAAGTTCTAGCGCAGGTCAGCCCCAGCTTAGAGAGAATACGAATTCGGTTTCATACCAAACTGGCGGCGCATGCTTGTTGGCGTGGTATCAGACTTGGACTTATGCGTCAACCAGAAGAGCAATATGATGAGATTCGCTCCAAATAACAGCACTTGACAGATAACCCACGCCCGCTGCCATTTCGTCGGAGGCGCTGGCCGAGGGGGATGGAATGCTGTGTGGCTGCTCCCTGACTGCTTCTCGCATTCTCCAAGCAAAGGTTCCTCGCCAGGTTTGTAACTGTCCATCTGGAAAAAAAATTTGGTGGAAGCTCCAGGCCTCTTCGTCACATCCGCGAACAACAAAAGGGATTATTCTGCGGCAGTCGAGATGAGCTTTGCCAGTAGTCAGAGTCTGGCACGGATGACCCTTGAGCATAGTCATGACAGCAACCCTCTGGAGAAACTGAGTTCACCAGTCCAAGAGCTCGGAAGTTCGAATCGAGCGGTATGTACTGTATAGCATTTTTACTTCCCCCTCTTTACAATTACTGGGGAACCCAAGGGCCCTGCGAGAATGCCTGTGAAGTTTGAAAAATCTCCAATGACAAAGTCGCATTGATCTTTTGCCAACCCTAACCCCAGCAATCGGTCGAATCCCTGCCTCCGAAATTGGCTGGGAGCTGGAAACGGTAAATGTTCTATTTGGGAGGTGACTAGCCCAGGCTACCTCCGTTCAGGCCTTTGTGCATTAAGGATTACGTTCCGCGGTGGTGGTGGTGGCGGAATAGATTAGCACACGTGATACAGTCAAATTTAGGGTTCATTTGCCGACTTCCGAACAACCAATTACATACTACTCCACCTAATCCTTTACCTAAAGGCCTAAAGCCAAACCGCTGATTTTCATCGTGGATTCCGCTATCAAAACACGATCTCGCTATACCAACGAAGACTAGCATATCTAACACGCAGAGGTTGTAGCGCTGCTATTTCCGAATATAGCGATTCAAAAATCAAGTCTCTACGACGTATATACGTTAAGTTATACCAATTTAGCCGAGCCTACTTCTATAGCTATCCGCCTACCTAAACACACCGATTCTTAATATATCGCTATACACTAAGCTAATACTTAGAGGTTCTCGACAAGTATCGTCCGATTAACTTTCTTGCTAAGCCCGATTGTAGCCGACGTCTTACTACTAAGTTCTCGCCGTCGAGCGACGAAGCCGCTAGAAACACCTCTCGGATTTTTGATTAAACTAGCTTAAGGCCCTTCGGAAAGTACTTCTAATCGATTTCCTTACTAGGTATAACTGCGCCCGGTATAGTAGTACTAAGTTCTCGTTACTTTGCCGACGCTAGTTACTAGCGGCTTAGAAGGTTCGAAATAGATTATTACTAACCTACTTAAGACCTATACGAGCTCGTATACCTAGTATTTCTAATTAACTTTGCTATAACTAGTATACCTCTACGGACTGTCGTTACTAAGATATAGCTAAGTAGTAGACGCGACTCTAGCTAGCAATTCGAGCTAGCGATTCGAGTCGGCACTTCGAACACTAACTAACTAATACCTGCACGACCTATACGACCTATACGACCTACACAGTACCGCCAATATAAGCGACTCTAACTTAACTAATTAACCCGACACTTCGGAGCTCGATCGTCGTTTAGGCGCTTAGAGCGGAGGCGCTTAGTATGCTTCTTCTTCTTATCTCTCTAATGTTCTAGCTATATCCGAGCTCGATCGTCGTTTAGGCGGAGGCGCTTAGGGCGGAGGCGCTTAGGGCGGAGGCGCTTAGGGCGGAGGCGCTTAGGGCAGAGGCGCTTAGTATACTTCTTCTTATCTCTCCGATGTTCTAGCTATATCTAAACTCGACCGGCGTAGCGAAGACAATGCCGCCTTGCCGACTCGGCTAGAATATAATAAAGATAAAGACGAGGATATAGTTACACTATAGGATCTAGATCTACTAGGACAGACGTCCGACTTACTAGTCTATATAGTCGATAAAGATCGCCGCCGCTAGCGCTAGTATTATAGCGACTATTACAACTCCGAGAATATGCTAGGTAATAAGGACCGCCTAGCTACTCGACGCTAGCCTAGACGCTAATCTAATAAGCGTACTACTCCTCGCCGCCTACGAAACGCTAATCGTAGCGTTAACTATGCCTAACCGGTTAAGGATAATATAACCGAAGACGAGGACGCCGATATAGATAAAGAGTCGCAAAGCGAGGGCGAGTTAGAGATTAAGAGTCGTACTAGCAATGCCTCTAACGATAATAGCGATTAGCCTATATAGCGTCCTAGCTAGCGCGGCCTCGACGAGATAGACGATAAGGAAGAAGGCGAGCTCGACCCTACTAGCCTCCGTAGTCCACGTCGCACACTAAAGTAGAAGTATACCCTTGTTATAAGGTATCTCGCCTAAATCGGATTGCTAATAGAGAAAATGATGTTTATGTAGTTTAGTAAGGATAGTATAAAGACCTATCGCAAGCGTATATAGGCTGTGTAGGACATGTTACCGAACGAGTACCTCATTAGCGCTATTCAGCTCCGAGCTAAGGTTAAGAACTTAATTAGTAAGAAGTTCTTCGATGCGTATAAGCTAGAAGACAGCCTTGCTACACTACGTCGCCTTTCCGAGATGTACGATGTAATCTATAGCATCGCTCTAAACTAGTACCGCCTTCTTAAAGACTTCATGCTTCCTAATACCCGGAAGGATACTATATAGCGAGCAATGTCCTTCGAGGATAAGCGAAACATAATACAGAAGCGCATCTATACGATTATATATATAGTGGTATATTCTATAGCGATAAAGAGGGCCTCTTAGATGCTAAAGTCGCTTAGTCTTCTGCTTGTCTATATTAGCAATGTGCCGGCCCCTCTTATCGATACTCTTTATAGTATAGGTCTGCTTCCGGCATATAAGACGATATAGGCCTTAATTAAGAAGAACGCTAACACCTAGCGGTTAAGGATCTTAGAGTAGGCCAAGTTGTATATCTAGTAGATCTACTACGACAACTTCAATCGCTAGGCAAAGCGGAAGGACTAAGGCATTGCCGACAATAATAAATAGGTCAACATTACTAATTCGTACATCGCCCTCTACGAAGATATACTAGAGAGGGGGTTAACGCAAGACATACTAGACCGCTCGAAGCTAGTACTAACCGAGAACATTATCTAGAATATCGATAGCGACGATGCTATCGTAGCAGTCGAAACACATTAGCTCTACGAAGCTTGTATATATATATTTAGTAACGCGATTAAGGGCATCTTTAAGGTAGCGAAGGATACTAGCAATCTAGTCGAAGAGCTAGTATATCCGGAGATTGACTATAGCTTTCGTAGCAAGACTTAGCTACTAGCTATGCCTCTATCGTAGAATAACGAGATCTCGAATAAGGGCACCGCCTTAGTATACGACGACATCTACTAGGGCAATCTAGGTCTAAAGCTAGAGGATCCGATTTTCGACAATAGATTAATTATTAACGTTAGTAATCAGCTTACTATCGAGCGTATACTAGCTATAATCTTTAGTAGTATCGAGAACAAGGCTATATACGATAGGAAGCAGCACGTCCTTCTAGTGCCCGCTTGGTTCTATATCTTTATAAACCTATGCTTTATACCTTTCCGTACCTATTGGAATAAGAACAAGGCCGGCGATCGTATAAACTTCTCTCTATTATCGGATGTCGATTTCTAGGATATAAAAGAGGTCAATCTAAAGTTACTAAAATTCTTCCGTATATAGAGACTACTAAAGCGTTGCTTTAAGGCCCGCACTGTCGCCGTATTCCTCTAGATTATAGTCAACCGTAGCTATATCTCTAAGGATCTTGTTAGCGAAGGTGACTAGACCCGGCCTAAGGTCGTTAAGTAGGCTATTGTCGAGAAGATATCCGCTACTAAGTATATAGATATCCTAAAGGAGATGCATACGCTGCTCCTATTACTAGAAGCATAGGAGGGAATGCCTAATCGACCTGCCTCTGCCGACAATAGCGCTACACTAACTAGGCTAGATGGGGCCTTCACCTCTATATACAGACTAATAAAGGAGATCTCTTTGTTTCTGCGCGTCCGCTATGCTGTCCGTATATAGGATGTCGGTCACCTTCGTCGATGCGTAGACTATACGATCCCTATGTTCCTTAGAGCTAGACAGAGCAACTATAGTCGTCTAATGACCTATTTCTATTTCCTCCTTAATAAGGGCGGTACTGAGGACCTATAGAAGGCGGTCCTTGCTACTGCAACAGTTAATTAGTCTAGAAAGAAGGGCTATACTGTCGGTAGTAATGAGATAATTAAGCTTATTAACTATGCCCTATCCGAGGACTATAATCGCCTTGCTAATTCGACTTATAGACTTGCTGCTACCTTTAAACGAGTATCGATAAACCGAGAGTTATCTCGCCTTATCCGCGATATGTTTAAGGAGAATTCTAGTGTCTATCGGACTAGTTACTACACTAATAAGGATATTAGCGCGGGCGTATTCAATCGAGCTAATAAGATCCGTATAGATAGGTTCGCGAAGTAGCAGTACGGAGATTTCACGCTCTCGGACGACATCTAGAACATCGGTATAGATTAGATACTATCAGTCGTCGAGAACTTTAACGCTGCTAACTAGAACTTTATTCGAGGCCGTACTACGGTGCTAGAATCTAATGCCTTAGAGGGTCCTAATACTGTAGAGCGCCTAGATAGTGTTGATTACGGTCCAATTAAGGATGCAGTACTTGATCTAGAGCGAGATAATATGTAGGTTTAGCTTGCAGATAGTACTGCTTAGCTATTCGAGGGTGTAGAAACCTAGGACCTAACTAGCACAGGCACTAGCGCTAGCACTAGTAACGGTGGAGTAGAAGGAGCTAATATAGGTCTCCTCGCACGCATAGGTGGCCTTAGTAGTAAGGGTAGCAGTAACTTTTAAAGGAACAGAGCATAGAGTATAGAGTATAGAGTATAGAGCACGGAGCATAGAGCATAGAGCATAATATTTAATATATTAAGGAAGGACTATTCTTGTCTAAGCACTGAAACAACGCCTGTAATATCGTCGTTGTCCTATAGCAGCTCTAGATTGAAGTAGTAGCGGTAGACTAGAGTGCGTGCCTTAATAGCTAGCTAGGCTAGGCGTACGATAATAGCTTGATAGCTAGCTAGGCTAGGCGTACGATAATAGCTTGATAGCTAGCTAGGCTAGGCGTACGATAATGGCTTGATAGCTAATAGCTCCGTAGACTAGGCGGTTAGCGGCGAAGTAGTAGCGGTAGACTAGAGTGCGTGTCTCGTAGGGGGTGCTTATAAAGTCGAAGGGTTTAGCTAGGCGTACGATAATGGCT